TAGGGTAACTAAAAAAAAAATCCTTTAATGTTATAAACACCACTTTAGTCATAAATATACCTTTAAAAAACACCCAGCACCAACCCACACAGACAAGCGGTGGCATCAGCGCTTTTAAGTAGAGGTCTAGGTTCCAAGGATACACCAAATAGTGATGCAGTTTTGAGAGATTTATTCTTTTTTTTTTTCTTTTGAGACAGTGAGACCCTGTCTTCTCTTGGCTGGGTGTGGCAGCTCACACCTGTAATCCTAGCACTCTGGGAAGCCAAGATAGAAGGATTGCTTAAGGGCTGGAATGCAGTGGAGTCATCATAGCTCACTGCAACTCAAACTCAAGCAATCCTCCTGCCTCAGCCTCCTGAGAAGCTGGACTACAGGGAGGCGCACCATGCCCGACTAATTTTTCTAATTTTTGTAGAGATGAGGTCTTGTTCTTGCTCAGGATGGTCTCAAACTCCTAACCTCAAGCAATCCTCCTACCTTGGCTTCCCAGGATTACAGGCATGAGCCACCACGACCAGCCAAGAGAAGACTTTAAAAATACTTTTAACCTTGGCAAGGCTAAAAACAAAACAAAACAAACTTGCTTGAAAATGCAGTCAGAGGCCCTCAGTCCTCACCTCCCACATGGGTTTAATTCCTTCTTTGAAGAGATGGAAGTCACTGTGGCCCGTCAGGTCCCCGGGACGTACCATATGGCTATAAAACCTCCAAAACTGCTCCACCTGCAGAGAGAAGTCCCCAGAGTATAAAAGATGTGTCTTCTTTTTCTTTGAATGTATCTAAATACATAAGATTTATTTAAGAACATAAGCATGGAGGCCACTGCTACAGGCTATCTTTTTCAGGGGACACATTTTCATTTGTGGCACTGGGTGGAAAGGAGGACATGTTAGAGGAAAAGTATATCATAGTTTGATAAAAGAAAAATGTAACATTGCCAATATAAGAATACACTCTTTGGGTGAGAAACACTTGCCTCAGCTAGGAGCTTTAATTGGTAAAGCCATGTTAGTATGTACTCTCCCACTGAAGCTGCAGGATAACCACCACATGCAGTAAGAGGACCAGTTTTTTGTATAATATAAACCTTTTAGTCTTGAGGCATATTATAAATGCCACACAGCCTCAGCCTGAATGCATTTTTTTAGAACCAAATCACTTACTTATTAAAGATCGTTTAACTGGAAAATAAAATATAGCATTAGCTAGAATGAAATACATTTTAGATCTGTGTAGTTACTGAGCATAAGTGATAGAATCAACCACATGTACTACTCTATATCATGGTGCTGTTGCTTAACACCAGTCAAAAAGGACTTAGCTTCTCATGGCTAAGGTTTAAGTCCTTCTTCTTAGCTTGAAAAATTTCTCCTTGCCCTCCTTCATATCCTGTTAGAAAACTAGACTCTATATTTTCTATCAAATGTATGCTTATTTATATTCATCATAGGAATCTATTTCTCTTGTTAGTGTCTTTTTTTTTTTTTTTTGAGACAGAGTCTCACTCTGTTGCCTGGCTAGAGTGCCGTGGCATCAGCCTAGTTCACAGCAACCTCAAACCCCTGGGCTCAAGCAATCCTTCTGCCTCAGCTCCTCACTAGCTGGGACTATAGCCCATGAGCCACCATGCCCGCGCTAATTTTTTCTATTTTTGGTAGAGACGGGGTCTTGCTCTTGCTCAGGCTGGTCTCGAACTCCTGAGCTCAAACGAACTGCCCGCCTCGGCCTCCCAGAGTGCTAGGATTTCAGGCGTGAGCCACCACACCCGGCCTTGTTAGTGTCTTAATGAATATCTAGTAGGCTAGATATCGGTAGAGATTGGGGCCTCATGTCTTTGTACTTGGTATGTAGTGACACTCAGAAAACATTTAGCAGGTGAAGTGACAAATAATCTGTGCTTGAAATGTGACATTTCATTTTGTTTCCTAAAATAATTCCACTAAAAGGGACTATTTTTGAAAGGTTTGTTTAGCCATTTTATTATTAATAAATGGCTTATGCCAAGGATCCCAGCCTTGTTTTCCCATTTCTTCTCTTCCTAGTGCTACTGCCATTTTTTATATAGAGTTGAATAATTGTAAAATGACAAAACTTCTTCATACTCAAAGGATGCTTGGCCATTTATTGCCTTAATGCAAAAGAAAAAGAGCAAACCATATTTTAACATCAATGCTTTCTGTCTTTTTACAGGATGACGCAAATAAAAATGGTGGCAAGTGGATTATTCGGCTGCGGAAAGGCTTGGCCTCCCGTTGTTGGGAGAATCTCATCCTGGCCATGTTGGGGGAACAGTTCATGGTTGGAGAGGAGATCTGTGGGGCTGTGGTCTCTGTCCGCTTTCAGGTAAGCCACCAGCCTGGTTTCTTGTGTTGCCTTTGCTCCCCTTACTGCTTCTGGTTTGCTTTTATGATTCCTTCTGTTTCTTTGGTAGGAGGACATTATTTCAATATGGAATAAGACTGCCAGCGACCAAGCAACCACAGCCCGAATCCGGGATACGCTTCGGCGAGTGCTTAACCTACCTCCCAACACCATTATGGAATACAAAACTCACACCGACAGCATCAAGTACGTGTTGGGGGGTATTGGGGGGACATGTCCCTAAGCTTAGCAGAAGGAGATCCGTAGATGACCCCAGAGGAATATGGTCGCACAAGAGACTAACTTGTGGAGAAGGGACAGACCAGGCTTTCCCTCCAGGGCTTCTGGCCACTTGCTGCAGTTCTTTGTCGAGAGGCTCCCTGCCCACCACACTGCCAAGTGCTTTGTAGTAGAGAGAGCCCCTCTGCAGAAACCCAGTTGCACTTGCCTGGGCTTGCTTAATTACTACAGTCTATCTTGTCTTTCATATGCCAACCATTATCTTAAAATGAAAGACAAAGTGCTTTTCTTTTTCGTGCTGCTTTTTAAAGATAATTTCACTGAACAAGTAAGTCCTCTTCCCTCCCCACCCTTTGCCCTACTTTTGCATGTCTTTTTAACCTGTTAGCTTCAGTCTGTTTTCTTTGTCCTGGGAAATTGACTACATATCAGGAATGACTCTATTTCCTTGTGTCTAGAGCTGAAATCATAGAGGAAGGAAGATAGTGTGTGTGAGAGGGTAGGAGGGAAGGGAAGCATGAAGGCTACAGGGAAAATAAGTTTTGCGATCTCCTGAGGACTCAGGAAAATGGAGCTCTTTGTCCACAGTGAGAATCACTGGTTAGGCTTGCTCCTTCAGTGATTGAATGTCAGAAATAAGCTCAGGTTATTATGAAAAAGTTGTGAGGATTAGCTGTCAGATCGTCTCAAAATTGGAGGGAGAGCTAGCCAACTAGGAGTCAGGACTTAAGTGTAGTTCTCTCGTATGGCCTTGCATCAGTGTGCCTCTTGCAAGTCTCTTTGCAACTCTGCTTTAGTTTTCCCACCTGTAAAATGGGGGACATTAATACTTTATGTAACAAGGCTGTTGTGAGGCTGATTTAATCTTTGTAACTGAGAGTCCTCAGATGGAGAATGCTCTTGCAGGGCCAAGTATTATTAATGCTCCTGTCATCATCACTAGGAATATCATCATTGTGTTATTCTTAGTAAAGACTAGTAGTGAGCCCAATGACTGTGTTCAGCAGGCAAGCCATTTGGGAATCTCTTTCCCGTGCATTCACAGATAACATGGGTAGAGTGGGCTTAAACCAGCCTAAGTGCCAGTTTTTAACTGGGAACACTGCTATGGGAGTTGGTCCATAGTCACATGGCTGGATATGACTCATCACAGCCACCAACAGTTACTAGCCAGCTGCGGCCCTTGTTGCTTGCCTTAGCAGTCCCTTGTTAGCATTGTTTTTCTCTAGGCAAGTTTTTCTTATTCTCTGTTCTGGGATAGAAATAGTTTCTGCCCTCTAACATTGAGTCCGGGCTGGAGAGATCTACACCTTACTATAGGATTCTTGTTTTCAAGGTTCCCAAATACCCCCCTCCGCACCCACCCTGAAAGCAAGCTTTTCACCTGGATAGAAAAGGGAAAGAGGTATTTTTCATCAACTCTCCCCTCTCTGCTCTTCTCTATTTCTAATACCCTGAGGCAGTTCTTCCTGACTTTTTGTAGGAATATATACAAGTCCTTACAGAGTCTAGGAGAGCCTGTGGACTTTTTGCCTTAGACTGCTAGAAAGACTGGCCTGCTACTCACTACTTTACCCAGAGGTCTGACTCTGGCACTCCAGTCCTGCAGCTGTAGGGACCAGAAAACCTTCCTTAAGACCCAGATGCTACTTTCCCTTGCGTCCCCCTCTTTTGCCTCTCCCAATGAGCCAACCTTTTGCACTTCTACTAGAATGCCAGGCAGGCTGGGCCCCCAAAGGCTCCTTTTTCAAAACCTCTGGAAGCCGCGGTTGAATGTGCCATGATCCTCTCCCTCTCTGGATGGCACCATCATTGAAGCTGGCGTCATCGGAGTCTCTTGTTCTGTTGGCGTGCTACCTGGAAGATCCTTCTGTCCTGGACGAGAGGAATTGGAAGAGCATTTTATGTTTTAAGAACAGGCTGACACACAGCAGCTACAACAACAGCTGAGATCACTTAATAATAAATGGTGCTAAACTAGCTTGTCTCATGCTCTTGCTCTTTATGGTGCATCAAAGATGTGGCCTTTCGGACTGTCACCATATTAAGAGATGGCACAGGCTTCTCCATGGAGGGCCATCCGGGGAATGCAGCCTCATTTCCATAAGTCCATTGTGTAGTGTCATGTGGCTTTTTGTTCCAGGACTGCTGAGGTCTGATACAATGAGGTGACATCTAGCTCTCAAAATAAGACCCCATTTTCTGGTACTTGAATTTTAGTTCCCATCTCATCATACTGATGACCAGAACAGGGTGATTTCTGATTTAGAATTCAGCTTGAAAGTCTGTTAAGGTTGGAAAGGGGGGTCCTTGGCCTTTGCTTTGCTGACTTCCACTTGCCTTTATTTCAAAGAAATCTCTTGCTTGGAGGTAAATCCCTGCTTCTGTCTGTGTGTGGCTGTGTGTATATAGCTTCCTTGCTTTGTGCTAACGGGATTTTCTCTCTAGTGCCCATGCCACAAACTCTTTGCCAGCCTTCTCCCTTCTGCTCTCCCTTTAGAGCCAGATCATCTTCTTTCTGAACTAGCCCTGCTTGCAAGATCTCAAGGTTATAGCCCTTCCCTTTCTCCCAGGCTCAGTGTTACTGTGCAGGATCTGGGGTGGAGAAACATCTTCATCCTGTGTGAGTGTGCTCCTTAGGACATCTGACCATAGCACATGCCAGCCCCTCATGTGCTTTGTGGCTTTGGCTTGTATGTGCTGCAGCTTGGCCTTTGGGCCCCTAACCTGCGTGTAGAGTTTCAGCAAGCCTCATGCTACTTTAGGTTTTTTTAGGAGCTACCACCAAAACCAAAAATAAATAGTCATTTTTGCAAACAGTGGGTCAGGCTGCCTGAGAGGATCTGTGAAAGTGGCTGTGGAGTTTTCCAGAGTAGCTATTCCACTTTGGCAGTGACACCCTGTGCTTACACCAGCCTGACTTACCCCTAATCTCACGTGGCCCAGAACACACATTGGGGCTAGCACTGTGGGCTCAATGTTCCAGGGGTGTTTGTGTCTTTGCTTTTTTGTTTATTGCATATCCAAAATTAGTTGAACTACCTAGAAAATGGGAGATTTCCTGGCACATGGAAAGGCCCATTCTCTATGTTTTTAGCACTTGTCAAAGAATTGCCTTCTCTGGCTCTATTGCTGTTGCCTTCAACTACAGTATGTCCCAGAAGTCGCCATAAATAGGGGAAATGGGAAATTGTAGCTAAATATACCTTTATTTATAAAATATTCATTACTAAATTTTACAGAATTTTTCCTTTGTAGGGAGACTTTTGGGACATGCTGTGTTATATTATATCATTGACCTTAATTTCAGCTGTGTTGTAACTGCTCCAGGGCATGAGCTTGATGTTACTTCCCAGAGTAAGAGTCAGTCAAAAAGCCCCAAACTGACCTTGAGACCACTTGATTCTTATCACGTGTGAAAAAAGTCAGACCTATTCTGCTTTTTTCTATTCCTAGTGGCTCTTCCACAGATATGGCTTTGTTTGAGCCAAGGAACTGCTGGGACTTGAGATTGTAAGGAAGTGAAGGAAGAGTGAGCCAACAGTTTTTCTCCCCTAATTACTCCAGAGATGAGGGCTGCTGGAAATGGTGAGGGGAGTGTTTTTGAGGAGTGGCTTAGGTTTTTCAGTCAAGCGTTCCTGATTCTATGTTATGTTTTGGTCCAGTTTCCAATGTCCTTCAACATTGGTTTGGTTTTTCCAGCCTTCCCCTAATCACACAGCTTGTGGCCTTTTCCCGCCCACCGCAGCCCTCCTAGGTGACCTTAGAGGCATTGACTGCCACACAGAATGGATAATGAGCATCTTTGCTGTAGGGGGCTCCTGACCATTTTTATTGCCAGCTCACCCCCTAAGGAATAGAAAACTTGTTAAACTGAGCTTTTGCACTGGTCATGACTCCTTTTAATAAGACCAGTTCCTGGTTGCATTTTCATAGGTTTGAGTCCTTGCTAGCATCAAGTGACTCACCATATCCTCTGCTTTAAGGAGAAATCTCATAATACAGGAGAATTGTGGGGCCACCAGGATAAAACTGTGCACAGAGCCATATGGAACAGCCGTGCCTTTTGTGAAGAAACTCCTCTTTAGAACAGTCCCATTGCTTCCCTTTGTGCATCTGGCCTGGGGTGGAAAAGGGATAGGACAGGGCCAGCTTCCATAGTGGGCCACAGTACTGGGGAACACTGGCCAGACTTCTCTGCAGAGACTTGAGGGTAGGGAATCCTTCTTTATTCCTTCATCCTAGAGAGACAGGTCAAATCATTGGGACTTTGCTTTACCACATCTAGATATTGTATTTCAACCTGAACTTTAACATACAGGCAAGAACCAATCCATCATTTCTGTCATGGCTAAGTCATAGCCTGGTGATGCTGGGTCACACCAGCATAATTTCTAGGCTGGCTCTGTGTCTGTGAAATGTACTGCCATGCTGAAATTCACAGTGAGGAAGGGCCACAGTAGCAGGAGGCTGAGCTCTCCAATGAGTATTGAGGGCTGGTGAGTGGGAAGCTGTGAACCTCACTGACTTTGGAGACGGGTGAAAGGAAGTACAGAATTGCACAGAAATAAGATCTCTCTGCTTTCAGAATTTGCTTTCTGGTGAGATGGGACAAGAGTGGTCTTGGAGGGCTCTTTGTTCCTCCTTCATTTGAATCTGTTCAGAATTCCCTATAGGCTATGTTAATCTTGGTAATTTTTTTCTTCTTTTAGAAACTCCAGTCATATGACACATTTTACATTTATCTTGTTCTTTCTTACCTTTAAAAGAAGTTTTAATATTATCTAATATGCCTGGAATGCCCAGGAGAAAATAACTAGTATATTCACACCTAGCTTTAGGTTGTAGGTTTGCCTTTTAGCTATGCTGTAGGCCTATGAGAGTAAGAGTGATTATACCAAAGACTATGGCCCACTATTTTATTTATACTGAACCCATGTGAGGAAATTTCTTAATCCAGATTCTTCATATTGAGGTTTAACCTATAGTGAGGTATTACACTTCTGAAGAAATTGGGAGGGCGGTATAATACCAGAATGGATTAGAGAAGCTCTAAAGTCCATATTTCTTCAGATTCTTGACTCAGAACTGCTTGTTTGGGCTAGTGTAGGTGTGAGCCTTTCTGGAAACAAAAGAATAAATGAAATGAAGCTTCAACACAACCATGTAGTTTCTTGTTGATACCTAAATTGTTTAAAAGAGTTTAAATCTCACTGCTAAGAGGAAAGATTTCCTGGTTCTGTGCCCAAGCATTGGATTTTGCTTTGTCCTTCCTTTGGAGTTAAGAATGAAATTGCCTTCTGATGCCACTCAGGACTCACAAAGTACACCACATCACCATCTCTCCAGAAAGGGTTATTATGGAAGAGATGTCTTGCTGTGGACATTGAATTTGGGAATTGACAAAAACTGGAACGCTTGTTTAGCAGTCTTTACGTTTTTCCTTAATTCAGTTAGCATACACTGGTAGATTTAGGAATATTTTCCAAAGAAACTATTAACTGCAAATCTGCTTCTTATTCTAAGAGGTAGACTATTATTCTAAGATGTAGATCATTAACTTGTAAATGCTGCTGTTCTAAAGAGGGAAATACTAACAAAACTGGTATAAACGTTACCTAGAATAATGAATTTGTTGTACTGGGTCTCAGTATTTAATCCCTCCCTTGTGAGAAAAAAAAAGAAAGAAAAGTTACCTGTAGAAAACCTGGTAGTTAAGTATATTTTAGTGATCATAATATTAAATGTGTAAAGAGTGACACAGTGTGTTGTCACCCTGGGTACTGTGTTACCAAATTAAACCAAGAATGAAGTAATTGACAACAAGGAACTTCTGACTTAAAAGCACCAAATTTTATGTGTAATCCCCAGGGAACTTACTGCTACCGGAGGGCAAAAAGGTAGCTCCCCTGAGAAAACTTGAGGTTGGGTTAGAGCTTCCAGAAATGTAGAGGGTCTGCCTCTGGTTTTCTCCTTCTATTACTCGTCCATCAGTCACCAAGGGCCTTTTCTTTGTGGACCAACACCCTGAGAGACCGAGTGCCCTTTCTGTCACATTTTCTTTTCCCTTTCTAACCCCAAATTCTGAATTGAGTTAATCAGCATGAAAGCTGTGGTGAGCATTGTTCCCTAGAAATTTTGAAGTGCCATGATCTACACAGCTTAAATTTTGAGGTGATAGTTACATAGTTATTTCAAGAAACAGATGGAACCTGACACATTTAGGGTCTGAGTTTTAAAAGGTTAGAAGGTTGGAATGTGAAAGAGAAGATGGTATAATTTCCTCATTGCATCTTTAAGCATCATTATGCTGTTGGGTACTTGCCTCTACCCTGAGGGTAAAGCCTAATGAAAAAGATAGTTTCTGCCACCTGTTCCCACGTACACAAGGCAGGAAGGGCAGGAAGTACTACTGTAAATTAGAAGTGTTTCTGGTGCTTGTGGAGCTTTAGCTCTGACCTCACTGGCCTCCCCTGAAGCCTTATTGAAGGAACAGTTGCAAATCTTTGAGGGAATAGGAGCAGACTCCCCATGTGGAGCAAGTGGGAGAAGTGTCCACTCCCCCTGAAAGGGTAGGCCGCTGCTGCTGATCTGAGAGACCTCGCTGCTCTGTTCCCAGGTACTTTTGGCTCCACTCAGCATGGACGGCATCTGAAGTGGGATGTGGGGTTATCGTGTCTGCTCTCTGTTCAAAAGCTTTTGATCTGAATGTGCTATTGTTTTTTGTCTCTGGTTTGCCAGGGCCTGGGAGGAGTTTCATGGCCTGGTGAACAGCAGCGGCCGCTGATCGGACGCTCCCCCTCTGTCTCTCACACTCAGGGTAGGGCCTTGTCTATCTTCTCTGTAACCCTGTGACATACCTCTCAGCCATAGGACCCCTCTTTCCTAGGGGATGCCCATCTCCCATTTACTCCCAACCTTGGCCAACGTTGAGCCTCAGAGAAAAACACTTGAGTCCCAAACCACTGCCCTCTCTGGGTCACATGTGTACTGGTGAACCCTGGGCAGGCCATTTACCCTCATTATGCCTCTGTTTTCTCATCTGGAAAATGAGGCTCCATGGACCAATAGGTCTCTGAGATCTCTTTCGATGCCAATGTTTCATGATGGTAAATGTGCCACAGATTTTTTCTTTTGCTCAGATGTGGCCATTGTTAAGCCATCTAGCAGTGTCCTGTGACTAAAAGGGCAGTTCCACAGGCCCCAAAATGGGTTAGGTGAGAGGTATGTCTCCTGTTTGCTGGTGGTGTTTGTCAGTTGTGAGGAAACAGTGGTAAAAGTAAATGGGGGCTGGATTTCAGGGCTGTGTGAAAGACAGTTCCAGGTTATACTGTCACTAGTCCAGCACATGTGTACCGACAGAGAGAGGCACTGGCATAGCAAGGCCTGGGGCAAGTAAAGCATTGACTTTAGGAATATTTGGATTTCAATTAAGAGAGTACCAAGTATGTGTCTGTCTCTGTGGCAAAGGGAAATGGAATTGGGTAAATTTATTATGGATGAAAGGCCAGTATCTGTATATGCTGGAGATGAGAGCCTATTCCTAAGCATCAGACTACCCCTATCGCTACCATCCCTAAGAGAGAGAGCATTTCTAAAATTCGAACAGAATGTGTCAACTGTTGTGGCTACTTCAGAATTCCCCCTTCCCAGGAAGGAAATGAGGGTTTTCCAGAGAAGGAGGCCTGCATCTCTCACGTGGGCTAGAAGAAAAAAGATGACACTGTGAGGGACAGCAGTAGGTGGCCGGGGTCTGGTTGCTCTGGGGTATCAATGTGATTTACAGATAAAACACAGTCACAGGCCTGGCGCGGTGGCTCACGCCTGTAATCCTAGCACTCTGGGAGGCCAAGACGGGCTGATTGCTCGAGGTCAGGAGTTCGAAACCAGCTTGAGCAAGAGCGAGACTTCGTCTCTACTATAAATACCAAGAAATTAATTGGGCAACTAATATATATAGAGAGAAAAAAATTAGCCGGGCATGGTGGTGCATGCCTGTAGTCCCAGCAACTCGGGATGCTGAGGCAGAAGGATTGCTTGAGCCCAGGAGTTTGAGGTTGCCGTGAGCTAGGCTGACACCACAGTACTCACTCTAGCATGGACAACAAAGTGAGACTCCGTCTCAAAAAAAAAAAACAAAAAAAACACACAGTCAAAAAAAAAAAGAAAAAAATAAATAAAAAACACAGTCACAGAGTTCCTGCACACATGGGCAAGGCCACCCATAGCTTTTTTTTTTAATATTCAATTCCTTTATTCTAAATTCAGTTTTCAGATGGTAATGCCACATTTTAAAAATTTCCACTTAAAAGGTTTCTCCTTAAAATATAGAGTCAACATAGAATTCCAAGATGGCTGCTAATATCCGCAAGGAGGGAGGTAAAACATGTACTACCTCTAATGGTGTCTAAGGTATTGATTTTCAGGCTGGAAAATAGCAAATATTTGAAATAAAATAATAAGTTAAATTTGTAGAAGCCTGATGTTAAACTGAATTGTTTTAATAATACCATATTTATTTCTAAGGTTTCTAAGATTTTTGCTTTTAATATTCTTAAAATCAGGATGCTTACAGTGAATGTCATAAGAAGGGTTTTGTCATAGTTTAATGGATAGTCTTTCTCCTCTGGAAGATACATTCCAACCTCTCATCTCGGAACTTTATTCCCAAAAATGTAGATCATGGTTCTGTGCACCAGCCCAGATAGCTAAGTAACTAGAATCCTTCCTAGCAGCTAACTGGCACTTTTACTGAAGCCATGGTTAAAAGGGAAATACTTATTGTAATGGAAGTCAAATGAACAGTCCTAAAATGTTAGCAGTCATAGGTAGACATAAAATAGCAGATAAATTGAGGAAAAGTATTGTGGTTCAATAAGCATGACTTAAATAGTTTTCCTACCAAATTTCTTCACAGATCATGATCTACTCAGAAGAGGTAAAAGAAAAGGGAGAGATGGAAAGAAGGCGTAAGTGTTAAGGGACCTCTAACATGGCAGATCCAAATATGAGCTGCAGCATCTTCTTAGAACACCTCTTTCACTTAAAGCGAGTTAAATCAATTGAGATGCAATATGAATCCTTTTCAAATCTGTTAAGATAATAGAGCAAGTGGATTTTTTTTGTTTGCTTGTATTCAAACACTCCTCATAGACTTCCAAGTCTGCCCTTCAAGGAGAACATTTAAACCACAATACTGCCTTTATCTGCCTCCCCCACTGCACAAAATAGATACAAGGGGCCAGGCCATAAAAGAACAAAGAGACCACAAATGGCAGTTATGCAATATATGACTTTTCACAGCAATTCAAAGATATTTTTCCTAGGGGATTTTGTATCTGCTAAGGGGAGAAGAAGTCATTTTAAGTTTTCTTCCATTCTGACAATTCCACTGTTACTTTAAAGACTTTTTTCTCATGGAACCTAACATGTTGTTGATTTTTAAAGGTACCATCATTTTATGTACTTTAAGAAACAGGCCAGGTGCAGTGGCTCATGCCTGTAATCTCAGCACTTTGGGATGCTGAGGCAGGACGATCTCTTGACGCCAAGAATTGGAGACCAGCCTGGGCAACATAGCCAGACTCCATCTCTATAAAAAATAAGAAAAATCAGCTAGGAGGATTGCTTGAGCCCAGGAGTTTGAGGCTACAGTGAACTATGATGATGCCATTGCACTCTAGACTGGCCAACAGAGAGAGCACCTATCTCAAAAAAAAAAAAAAAAAAAAAAGAACAAGAA